AAGTTGTTTCACGCTGTTTTGTGAATCAACACAAACTGCTAGCGCCTCGTAGATTAAAAATAATTTGGTCGTATCAACTCCTTTGTCTACATCTTCCTAAGGTCTTCTTGATTCCTCAATTCTCGTGAACGCCAATCTAGAAGTGACTCATAATGTCTGCACGTCTTCGCATTGACCTACAACAAATGCAACATGATGTGTTTTGGGGCAGGATTTTTTGCTTCTCTCCTGTTGCTTGTTTAGAGGGGGATGTTGAATGCTTGATATGTTGGTACCATCATCAGTCTGTTGCTCTCTCTTGCTCAGCTCCGCGTGGTTGCCGCCAATAAGCAGCACACTCCATTTAATGTCTTCTCATTAGTCGACCCTGACGGCTGTTTTGGAGTTCTTGGAAAAGAGCGGCGCGAATGAGCTACAACCGCGTCAAAACTTATTTACATATTTTTTTTTTTAATTATGTGAATGCGCTATATTGGCTATCAAATATTAGCAATCAAACGAAGCCGCTCACCGCTTGGAGATTGCGCGTGAGACGTATCGGGTCGTGATTCCACTCGTTGCGCAGGAATGATATATGTGAAGACAAATGAAACTAGATCCAGATAGGTACTAGATAGATACTAAATCGGAAAAGATATCTTCGTTAAACCGTTGATGTATTATGTGTACAATCGTTTCAATTTGTTTTTCTTGATAAAAAGAGGTAAGAATAAAGGTGGCCATACATACAAGGGCCTCCAGGCCACACAGTATTTTATGGCAGCCCGTCAACTCTTTTGCAAGATTGGTCCGATTTTTTTATTTATTGATTTTAAAATGCTCCATAAAAGTGCACCGTCAATACTAAGATCAGGGTAAAAGAGATGCAAATAATGTCTGACGATGTGCAAGTAATCAATTTTAGTTGAATATATACTTAATTTAATACATTCATATAATCAAAAAACGTAATGTCTCCTAAAACAAAATACAGGTTCGGGCGCAATTATACATCAACATTAATCATATAAATAATTTATTAATCACTACCTAAAAACTAAAGCATTTCTAGGCCAAATTTCAAACAAACTAAATTTCTGATTTGATCTAATCCTATTTGCATTGAACATGGCATATTTGTTTCTTATGAGTAGTTATTCACATTTCAGCTATGAGGGACTCGACAGCCTTAGACAGTCGTTTTTGCTTATTGTGCAAAAAATCAGGATCAATCATCGGCCACTTCATATTATGCATTGCTTATTCATTGTGTGTATTGTGAAACTTGTCATCGGTACCGGGTTGAATGGCGACAACAACGACTCGATCATAAGTGGTGTGATGTGATATGAGGGGCTCGGTGCCCTTAGAGCGATCGTTTTTGTTTACTGAGCGGATGCCGGAACATCATGGGTTTAAGTGAACCGTTTGCCAAAAAGAACCCTATTGCGAACCTAAATCTTTTATCGAACATCCCAGTGATTTCTCGTGAAAGTGCAGCGGTTTTCTCGAGTAAAAAGCGAGTATTGCGGCAACACATTCCTATCCATTCCTAAATTAAGTTGCATTCGGACGGAACCAGCGCTGGTATTGGCTATTTTAAAAAGTTTGAGATCATCAATTTTTCCCAGCATCATATGTTGGATCTCTGTGTAATTACATGTGACAATAATGGAGTAGCTACCGCAGATAGTCCACCATACCATTGCGATAAAATCAAGTAATGACACCGAAATTGGCCATCCATCTAAGGAAAAAACGAAATTTCCGAACTGAAGCATACACGACGAAAAGTGCGTTCTATTGAAATAAATTTACCGTTTCTTTGCCCAAGGCGAACCAGCCGATGCAAAGAAGAGTATTAGCAACAATCAATACGAAACTAACGATTTTAAATCTGCTCACTACTTGACTAGCCTATTGGTCCCAAGCAAACGATTAACGTACCCCATTCTTGTCGGAATTCTACTACTACACAATGTTTGTTTTGATTCGCTATGAAAGTTTGACAGATAAAATAAGGGGTTCGTGGATTTTCCTATGTTTCGAGGGGTGAATCGATTAGATTGGGACCAAAGAGAGTAAAAGCTGAGCCAAAAAGTTGAACACGCTATTTCGGGACCTTCTAGTCCTGTGTCCTCTATGGTATTATGGCAAGAAAACAGGCCGAAATGGCAAACGTCAAAAAGCTGCCTAGTACATCATTTTGTGCCCCACTGTGTTCCTAACTCTCCAGTGCAATATGTGGCAGCCATTTTATGTTCCTTTGTTTTGTTTTCATCCCGTAGTCAGCTGTGGAAGTTCTGCTGAAATTTCGTTTGAAAATAAGGAAAGTTCTCTCAAAAGTTTTTCGAATTTAAAGCTAAGTATCAACCTAAAATGAAATGGATTTTCAAGATAAAGGTATGTAGAATATGTTGAACTCAAGCAGCAATGAATTTCAAAGTGCAAACATAGTAATTATCAAGGTAGAAGCAAGCTACGATTTTTGTTTACGTGTTTATGTTTGAAAGGTATTTTTGTTAATGTTCCGGGCATTTCCGGGCAGAATTTTTTATACTGTAGGATAGATTAGGGTTCTATCAAATGATCTACGGTAGACATTTTTGCAAATTTTTGCGAATTTACGATATATTGGTATTTTGCCAAGGTAAATGTTTCATTTTGCATATGCTTATTTTTGAAAGTTCTATTTATTGCATGAATTGTTCATTGTTCATCGTATTTGAGTATATTTAAAGTATTTTTATAATCGATGATGAAACAATGATGCAACATATTATATAAATTTAATTAGTTAAATTATAACCGATAGCGAAAAATTTAACTTTCACTTTTAGGGGGAGTATTTTTATATTTTTGCTTTTTTCATACAATTTTACATTAGAACACAATTTCTACAAAAAATCATCGATTTGTAGTTTTGGTCAACTTTTTGGGTCAAATATGCCTTTTTGGCTGAAAACCTTGTAAATAAAAAAAAACGTTTCTTTCAACTGGTTCTTATGTCGTAAGGGCCGCTTGACCGAAATTTATATGATTTTTTCGTAGTGTGTAGGCTATAACCATAAAATGTATTATATTACAGTAGCCCCTCCATATAAACGGTGGGTGATACCATCCACCCACCGCTGATCCTCGGCTGTCCTTCGACCAATTACGCTGATTTTTTGTATGTGATTAGGGTCAATCATAAACTTGTCAATTTAAGAAAATCATCTCAATTGGTTGGAAGACAGCCAAGAAATTGGAGATAGATATATAGATATATATATATATACATATATATATATATATATATATATATATATATAGCAATTCCATAGAAAAAAGTTATAGTGGGTCTCAGAATTTCATGAAAATTGGTATAGTTCTTCCTTATCAAAAAATATTAGACTCGTATTTTTTTATTGCGCCATCAGGGTGACCATTTCCGTGTTAGGGTGGTCCAAAAAATCATTTTTTTTCAAAAATGTCTTTTTTCAAAAATTTATAACTTCTGAACCACTTGACCGATTTTTACGATTGACCCTTCAAATGAAAGATGTTTTAATGTTGTTTTAAGAAAAATTATGAAACACTCAGAGATATTTGATTTTGTAGGAAAAAATATGTTACAAATGCTTTTTTCTTGATTTTCACTGCGAGGGTCTTCAACAACTTCTTATTTTAGTATTTTTAATTGAAAGATAATTTAATTTTACATAACATATCAAAAAATTAGCGATGTTGGAGAAGCAGTTTTGGAGATACAATTTTTTTTAAATAAAAAATTATTGATCCGCAATATATGCACCACACGTGCATGGAAACGATGAAGACGCAAGGTAGTTCACAATGCGTCTCCATCGAGTCACAGCAGCTGTGACTAATGAAATCTATGAGTAACTTACAAGCTGGGTGCAACATTCAGTTCAGCCTGGAGGCTGTCCTAAACCACGTAGACCAATTTTTAAAACATTGCAGATCCTACCTCGTATACTTTACTAAAATTTTAAAATATTTTTACCGAGCGTATACTGTGGCTGGACTCCCCTCCCCCATTGAAGTCTTCGTGGCTTTAAAACAGGCCCCAGTTTGACATTATTAATTTTGGTATCAAAATTCTGGGAGAAGTACTTAAATGCTACAAATAATGACGGGGTCGAAGAAAAATAAGTAAAACATGAAGCATTTATTTTCTTTAATTACAATTTCACACATTTTTCTTCCGTTGAAAATGAATACCGTTTGACAATAATATACTTTTCGTTTTGAGGCTTAAAACTATGGAATGACTGTGTCCCCGAAATTTGGTTCACATGTATATAACGGTTTTTCAATTTTCTTTCCATTTTATTGTAATCGGATTCCGAAAAAAACTGATAGTGTATTTTAGAATCTGGCCTAGAAATAGCCCATGAGTAAAGTTCTTGGGCCGTTGTTATATGGTGGCCTTGCAAACTCGCTTTCGCAGCGTTTCGTTTTAATACTCCTCCCAAAGCATCACAAGGGCCCTTTCCATGACAAGTTGCGAAAAAATTCCACTCGGCAGCAATGCCAAAATCTTTTAGCATGTTGCATAAATTAAAAGCGGTCATCTTATTTTTATATTGGCTTCCTGATCCATCTGAGAAAAAGTAAATCTGTTGTAAGTTTGGCAATTTACATTTTATGAACGCTAGACAATGCGTAAGAAATAAACGAACTGCGACATGATTATGTTTAGTGAAATCAGCAATTGCAATAAAACTAGTAAATTTCAAATCGTTAGATTCTTCGTCTTTAAAATAAATAGCACAAGGGTGAATAGTACATTGGGCGTTCGCCCAATGAAAGCCTTGAACTGCATCCTGCACAACGAAAGAATAATTCTCCGAAAAATCACAGATTATGATGCATTCTGTAGCTTTCAAATTGCTTTTGACGTGTTTCATGTAATTTGCCTGTTGCTCAGCTATAAAGTTATGCGGCAATAAATTGAATAATTTTTCTAAAAAAGTATAAATAAATTCCTGTGTGTCCATTTCAACTAAGTCCATAATGCATCTCTCTACTTGACGCCATTGTTTGAATTGTATTGATTCAACATGTCCGTTACTAAGAATAGTCATTAGTTCTGTGGCCAAAATTTGCGTTCCTGAACAATTTTTGCAACACTGCAGCCAGCATTGTTCACTTGGATTTTGACAAATTATTTTTTTAAACAAATCGTGATAGGAATCAACACCATCTGGGAGTGATTGTCTGCTTTGTAGTGTTTTAAAAATAAGTTTAACGTTCTGATGATATATACAAACGCATACGGTATGCGTGCCACTTGTCCCTGCCGAAATGCAGTGTTTCGGACGGTTACTGGCGAACATGGAAAATCCTATTTTAATATCAGGATATGTATTTTTAAAGATGGAGTACGCCTCCTGCAAGTTACACAAAACTAATCTTCTTTGTACGTAGATTTCGCCTTCATCATTTTTAGATATTAAATAATCTCTTTTCCCCGGACAAACACGACTTATATCGTCACTATTGTAAAAAACACGAACAAGCATTATCGTTGGTTCTCCTAATGAAGCTCTGCTTAACCTCTTTACAGGCACCGACATTATTCCTTTCTCTTGCTGCAGTGCTTTTGCTTGGTTGGCCATATGTTGGGAAACATTGAACTCCTTCATAATTCTATATGTAGACCAACTTTTGGGAAGTGTGGTTAAAATCCTGTATCGCTCATTGCTGTCTCTTGTTTCTTTATATTTATCCTTAAGTTGTATAAGGAATTCATTTTCGTCTGACAAAGGTGCGTTGTTGGTGGTAACGATCGATTCAGAACTGGTTGTTTCCACTGACTCTGAAAATAAATATAAAAAAATGATTGATTATTAGAAAAAAAGACATACAAATGATTTTATTTTTATTATTTACCTTGGGGGAAAAGGAACCATTCTGGACGGCTCCGCAACGGCAATCGATTCAATACTGGTTGCTTCGATGGACTCTGAAAAATGATTGCAAAAAAGAAGAGTTTAAGTTAGTAGTTAGAAGAAAAGAATTGAAATTTAAAGAAGAATCACATGAATTTTCAAATAACGTACCTGCAGCAGCGATTCTGGATGGTCCTGCAACGGCTTCTTCGGTCACGGCATCATTGGGTTCATATAGTTTGTGGTAGCATCGTTGACAAATGAAGGAGCTACTCTCATCTATTTTAATCTTTTTTTCCACTGCATAATCGTACAATTTATTGGTGATTTTTCTGGCACTTGAACTCAACATCCAAACATCACACATTGAACACTTACGTTTCATTTTTAGATATTCTTCAATTCAACTGTTCTAGTAGGAAACTTTGATTTCTAACTGATCATTTCTTTCATAACATTCGTTGTTTTATGTGAAGCATTATATCGTACCTACGAGTGAGTGATATACCTATGAGTCTAAGCTGTAACTCATAGGTATATCACCTGTTCGTAAGCAATGACGTCACTTCAAACAGCTGTTTCAGGTAAATAGATGAATATTGCGAATAAATACAAACACCACCAAACATTTCCAAATGTCACTAACACCGCGAAGCCTATTGGGCTGGAGCTTATGTAAAAGTCATTGCCTACGAACGAGTGATATACCTATGAGGTACAGCTTGGACTCTTAGGTACTGATGCAACATGCAAAAATGTTTTGGCATTGCTGCCGTGTGGCATTTTTTCGCAACTTGTCATGGAAAAGGCCCTATGGGAGGAGTATTGAAACGAAACGCTTTAAAATTTGAGTATACGAAGGGAAAGGTAGGATCTGCAATGTTTAAAACTTGGTCTACGTGGTTTATGGACGGCCCGCAGGTTGAACTGAATGTTGCACCCAGCTTGTAAGTTACTCATAGATTTCATTAGTCACAGCTGCTGTGACTCGATGGAGACGCATTGTGAACTACCTTGCGTCTTCATCGTTTCCATGCACGTGTGGTGCATATATTGCGGAACAATATTTTTTTATTTAAAAAAAATTGTATCTCCAAAACTGCTTCTCCGAAATCGCTAATTTTTTGATGTGTTATGTAAAATTAAATGATCTTTCAATTAAAAATACTAAAATAAGAAGTTGTTGAAGACCCTCGCAGTGAAAATCAAGAAAAAGCATTTGTAACATATTTTTTCCTACAAAATCAAATATCTCTGAGTGTTTCATAATTTTTCTTAAAACTACATTAAAACATCTTTCATTTGAAGGGTCAATCGTAAAAATCGGTCAAGAGGTTCAGAAGTTATAGACATTTTTGAAAAAAAAATGATTTTTTGGATCACCCTAACACGGAAATGGTCACCCTGATGGCGCAATAAAAAAATACGAGTCTAATATTTTTTGATAAGGAAGAACTATACCAATTTTCATGAAATTCTGAGACCCACTATAACTTTTTTCTATGGAATTGCTGTATATATATATATATATACAGCCATTCCACAGCAAAACGATATAGTGGTTCTCAGAATTTCGTAACAATTTACAGTTTTGTTCCTTATCGAAAAATATTAGACCCGTATTTTTTTATATTTTCTCATTAGGGTGACCATTTTCCTTTTAGGGTGGTCCAAAAAATCGATTTTTTTTTTCTATTTTTCCAAAAATGGCATTTTAAACCATTGAACCGATTTGAATGATCAAAATATCAAATGAAAGGTTATTAAAAATACTTTTCAGAAAAAAATAAACTTTTTTGAATATTGGAGTTTTGTATCGAAGAATTTTGATTGTATTTGTTTTTTATGGTTTTCATGGTTTGTAGACAATGGGCGTAACACGTTTTTATATTTTTTTTTTGAAAATTTAGGCTTTTCTACACACAATATCAAAAAATCAGCGATGTATTTGTCTTCGTTTTTTAGTTACGATTTTTTGAAATTATCGTGTTTAGAAATTTCGCTCATTACTCCAATATGACTAGATTACCCTGCGTCTCCATTGGTACATAGCTGACATAGTCACATAATCCATATCAATTTTCTGCTTCTGCATTTATAGGCTTGTTTATTCAAAGTGAATACTTCACCAAGTTTCGCTTCGCTTCGTCGTAATGGTCTTTTGACATGTGAAAAACTCATAATCTCCCATACCGAAGACATGTTAAAAGATGCATACAAATAATATAATTGTTTTTCAAACATCTAGGGGAATTTACGTATTCTCGGCAACCTAAGCAGCGACCTTCTTTCTATAGCCTTTTTCTCTAAGGAACGCACACATATGCAGTATTGGTTTGCTTACAATCTTTTGCTGCCAGCTGCTCTAACAATTTCAGTCGAAAGAATTGTCAAAAACTGTTTTGAAACGCTTTTACAAAGCTCCAATCTTCTCTAGTGAGAGCGAGTATTGTCGGCAACCACTTTTTCTTCGGCAACCGTTCCATTTGAACTGCATGTAAATCTGCTGTTCTATTATCGGCAACTCGAAATTAGCTACAATTTGTAGTGCGTGTGTTTCATTTCAAGAAAACCTTGCTAGATTGCTTTTTCTCAATGGTAAAAATATAGTCAAATTGAAGCTGAAAGCATAAAGAATCGTTTGCATGCATACAGCGAAGTGTTTTTGTAAGAAAATCCAGTGAAAATAGTGTTTCAATTTGGGTTGCCGAAAATAGTCTGGCATGCCGAAGCCGTCATTTCCCCTATTTCAAGCGGATATAATTTATTTCTATTACAAATTTTACGTTCTCCTTCAGAGCTTTATGAAAAATTCCAAAATATGAAAAACGAAAACAAAAACAAAAACCGCATCTCCAACAGGCAAGATTGACTGATTCCTTCCACTTCGCGTTTTTAGGAGCATTAATCGCAACATCCAGAAGTCATGTAGATTCTGTGTAGCGAACACATTGATGCATTTTGAACTTCTTACAATAAGTGGCCGAGAAAATTCGAAGTGGTAAATTAAATTATATCAAAAAAAGATTCCGTCAATCGTGTTCGTAATAGACACATTTTCAAATCAAATACTTGCAATCATGAATACATTCCATAGTTTTCATGTTGCATCGCACAGCCCAACAGCCCCAGCACTTTACTATCTTGCTCTCTTCTTTTTGCCAGTCGATTTCTTGCTGTTATCTATTAATGCCTTAAATTTTTATTGTAAGAAATCAAGTTTTTGGGTGCAACTGTCCATAACTACAGCCACCACCGAGCAGCGGTCATTAAAATGTTAATCAAAATATTTTATTCGCTGTCATAATCGTAAAACATTTTTGCTATCAAAAGTGTTGCTCGATGACAGGGAGTAGCATGTACGAACCCAACCAGAAGCAACGAAGCGCGGGCGTCGTCTCCTCTATACATAAATTAAATATCTATCAACAGCAGCAGCAGCACCAGCAAACAACAACACTATAATGCCCCGGCGAGCGATGATGACGAGAACTTTAATATCTTTACCTCCCATGATGTCCGGCCGAGAAAAGTGAGGAATCCCTGTCGCTACCCTCCAATTTACGCGCAGTGCAAGGACGAATGATTGGGCCTTCATTGGGTTCGCGTGGAGGCTGGAGATGACGCTCGGTCAAGCGCATCCTACGGCACAGCATCCCGGTCCGAGGTGATTTTGGCCAACTTCTATGATAGTTACGAACCTGTAAGTAAATGAACATCCAAATGGCTTAATTATATGTGGTGGTTACTATGTGGATGTATACCAAACAGGAAGGAAAAATTGCAATCGCTAGCTGTCTCGCAAAATCATTCTTATATCGAACTACTTGTTAAACTTAATTTTCCGCAGTGTCAATCAATCAATTTACAAACTTAAAGTTCACCTAACGCCGTGAACCCGTTCGATGCGATGCTGCTGCTACATCCCCTGAGTGAGTCAGGAGACCATGTTATGAAGCATAAAACATGTGCCACCGCTTCGGCTGCTGACTGGACTGCTGATGGGCGATCGCCAGCATGTACGTTTGCTACATGGTGTGGAGTCGGATTTACTTTTCCGAGGAGAAAGATTGAAATCATAATACGTCAACAGCACGGGAGACAATAAGTCATCAAGCGTGGACAGTGCTGTCACGGTGGACTGGGGAGATTCAGCAGCTCACCCCTTACTGTTGCTGCTGGTTGGTACAAGCCGGTCGACTGATGGAGGCCTGCAGTCGCGATGAAACTGTCTCGCAAATGTGCTGCGCTAGGGATACCCTGTCTTTTTTTATTAATTCTTTTTTAACTACATTTCAACTGGTGGCTGGTTCATCTCCTCTACAATCTCTTTGGTCGATACGTTATTTGCCTATTAATTAATGTATATCCCAATTGTGCACAATTAAGTAGAACTTACAGTGCCCTTACAGTTATTTTTCTTGGAAGCAGAAGTTAGGTCTGCAAACGTAGTGATCGGACATGTTTTACGCTACGAGGGATAAGAAGAGGCTTAAATTAGTCAAGAATATATGTAATACGTTTTTATACCACAACATGTGCTTTTTGTATTCTAGTGACTTAAACACATACATATAAGGTCATTCGTGAATCGTCAGCAAACCCCTACTCAAAGCTCGTCTCCACAACACGTGGTTGATTTTGTTACGATTTGCTACTGATTCGCTCTTCAATTCAATGATTTTATGAAAACTGCAACGTAGGTTTGTACATAACAACGTAAAGTAAATGGTGTTTATTTGTTAAGTTTCCGACTTTTGGATATTAATTAATGAGAGCATCGGTCATACAGTCTAGCGATATCAAACAGCAGTTAAAAAAACTACTATTTGAGCTCGCTAGACTTCACAGTCTCGACTTTCATTAGTAAAATGTCATCACACAAAATTATTGTCATCTTTTGATATGGTAATTCCTCTAAAATCTTAAATACATCAACATTATAAAGATACTGTGTAGTAGAATTAAAAGAAAACACAACGTAATAAGCTTAATATTAAAATTATTTGATAAAAAACCAGATTGTAAGATTGTAGTCTAAAACTGACTCAAACTTTAGGAAGAAAAAAAAACT